ATCTATTCATGTTTGGTTTATAAAAAATAAAACTTGCTGAATGTTGAGGTGCCCAGAGATTCCTGGGAAACAACCCTGATTGACAGTCGGGGGTTTTGTTTGTTAAAGGCAGAGTCGCAGAGAAGCAATGGTGATGTCATCGACCATGAACCTTTCTCACAAACATGCACAAGCACTTTCCCTCCGAACCACTTCTTCTACAGCACGGCTTGGATTTAGACTGGCGCGTCTGCAATCAGTGATTTTAGCTGCACCGCGGAGGCAGAGGTAAGTGAGAGCCAATCACGGGGCTATTTGGCCTACAGCTGCACTTAACTCCGGCTCTTACTGATGCAGCACACAAAAAAACAAGTGATGGAGGGATTGATGGAGGGTTACGAAGATCAAGAGAGACAAAGACCGGGTGAGAGAGAGCTGGACGGTACAGTGGAAAATTACAGAGAGAGAAATGGACGGCAAGGGACCAAAGCAAAGAAAATAACTTATTAGCATGAAAAAAACCCACCCAAAAATATGATTGCTTTTGTTGTCAGCGTCTACACTGTTGGCGTAAACACAGATGTCATAAGCAGCACATTTAGAGTAAGAAAAACATCCAAGTTCTTTCTCTTTATGACACATTAAACTGTCATTTTGAAGCCCACTCGTACAAAGAGACTCATAACGGCATCGCAGCATCTGCTTTACACGCAGGCACAGACATCAACAAGGAGGAAAAAACATAAAAAATATTTAAATTTATAACAGAGTCAAAACAAAGAAACCGGTGGAAGTGTCTGACATTTATAACAGAGTCAAAACAAAGAAACCATGTTGAAGTGTCTGACATAGTACCAGTAGAAAAAAAGAAAGCTGGGAAGTTACAGTCGGTGGCTGACAGACAATAAAACCAATCACACCTGAAACAGATCAGCACGCAGGCTGGACAGTCAGGGAAATGTAATTCTACTTCACAAAAAAACAATTTATACAGCGGATATAAAAATGTCAATGTAAACAATGACGCCACGATATTGATGCTCCAGAACATTTGAAAATGATGTACGTTATACTACAGGTGTAGCCAGCATGGCTAACCCTGCTACACCGCTACCTGCTGCCTAAAGCTAAATCAAGAGTATGGGGCTTATAAACACAGGACTAAAGGTAGAATCCCACCTTGGCTGAAGGGTTTAATACAGGGGACTAAATGTTGTGTGCATAATATATATTCTCCTTCATATGACCTGTTCAAGGTCAGTCCTTCCACAGCACTTCCGTGACTTGAAGCGAATCTCACTCTGTATTTTTTTTTTTTTTTTCAGCAGTCTCTTATCTTCAGCTGCTGGTTTGACTTCACAGTTGTGAAAGGTGGTGTAAACTACACAATGGTGAGTCAACGGAGAGCAATTTCAGTTGATATGTTGGGAAAGAAATGTGCCTCAGAGGAGAGGTAAGAGAGTATATGATGTCATCTACATATAAATGTATCCTGAGGTGATGCATCCTCTCTGCCTCTCTCTCTATAGCTCTCTAATAAAGCACATTTAGAGCAACGGAGAACTTGAATATTACATTGTAAAGTTTGTCCTGTAGCTAACACTTTAGAATCTAATATACTGCATAAAATTAGCATCCACGCAGCTGGGAGTACGACACATTTCAACGCCAACCCGTACTGTCGTGTGGGCTGTAGCTCTAGGTGTAGCGCTGGTATGAACGCACTGATGCTGGTTTTAGGGTTGATAAAATCCCAGCAGTTTTTTTTCTGGTCTTTTATCTACACTGACAGAGAAGACATAAACGGAAAGTGAGCAACAACCCTAAAATGTTGCGTGACAGTGAACAGAGCAATGCACCCCCGCTGCCTCATCTCCAATCATTATCACGGCAAACACAACTACAACAACAAAAATCAGTCATTCAAAGCACAGCCTGATGAATTAAAGGCTCATTTACCATTTCTTTTATTTGTGCCATTTTAAGTTAAACCATCGGTGTGTGGCGCAAAGCCTCACAGAAGGAGGACTCCTTGCTGTGGTTGCCACAGAGTAACCTCCTCCCACTTTGGTTCCACTTAAACTGGTATGAATGCAGACTGGTTTGCCAGAAAGCACCACTCAACATTTCTCAGACTCCAGAACGGAACGGAAGTGTCTGTCTATGAGTCTCAGCAACGTTTTCCATGTGGGATAAGAATCCAGCTGGACGTTGGGGGCAATTTAGTTGAGAATATGTTCTGTTGACTGGAAAACGACAGAGCACAGATAACGTAATTGGCATTTAGTGCACAGAGACGTTAGTCTAGTAAATGTCAAGGGCGTGACATCGCTTATGACAAAGTCGAGGTCAGAACTGATCAAAATGAAGCAGGTGCTACAGTATAAACAGTTGGTCAACAGGGTGCAGCAGAAACCGTTGCCTTGGTCCACCACTGTTTTGTTTGGATTATTCAACTTAGGTGTGCAGTGTTCCCTCTCTATATCGCAGTTCTCTTTTCGCTTCCTCAGTACATTGCAGATTTATTTTTTTAATGCGTTCTCACGAAATCTTCACTCTCTCACGTAATATAGCAAAAAAAAACAAAAACAAAAACAAACTAAAAGACATTATAAAACAATTATACATAGAAAGGTTTTGGCTTTAAAAGTGTGGATTCTTGTTTTGAAATTGAGATAAGCGCATTTGCAAACGATCGCCGGGAGCTTTTTTTATCTGCAAACGATCGCCGGTAGCTTTGTTTATCTTACCTAGACAAGATCGTACAAAAAATACTATTGGCTAATACAATGCTAATACAATGCATAGTTGGTGTATTATTGGCTAATTGAGAATCCTCTTCTGTTCCTCACGCTGATTGGCTCATGCATCATAGTATCTCTGGGCATCTCCCCTTGTCAGTCGGCCACTGCATGGCTGATGTGTAAAGGTGACAAAGAAGAAAATGTTTTGTGATTCCAACAAACCCCCTCTGGAGTTGAATGCTATTGGGCTGAAGTCTAGTCTCATGGTAAAGGCGGGCAACAACGCCCCCTGGTTCAGTTTTAGCCACTAGCATAGCTTTGGTTGGCCTTCATATTGACTAAATCTTACCATTTACAAACCATCAATCAGAGCAGTAACTTTGACAGTTGGAAGTGATTGGTGAAACTGGTGAGGATGCTGTGCTCTGTGCCATCTCTGCAGCTCTACCTCCGTGTTTCCACAGACAGACCAGCGTGTCGATCTCCGCCGTCACCCAGATGAGGTGGAATGTGGAATGACAGGAATTTCAAACCTACATAACAAACAATGAAATTCTAATTACCAGCCAATTTTCCCTGCTGTGACATTTGGACCACAGGACTGTTCAATTATTCATTGGTACTCTCATCTTACAGAAGACGAAAAACAAAGAAAGAAATGTTTAAGAGAGGGAAGAAAGCAGCTGCAGAGCTGATATTAATACTGATATAAAACCTGCGTTGGGACAAATCTGAATAAAGTAATCACCCTGTCCTGTCTGGATCTGCTTCATATTCAGTGTAAAAAAAGAAGGAAAAAAAAAAAACAAGTGCCCCTGGATTCTGTTTCCTGTAAAACGTCAGCGACATGGTGACACGTTCACTGGTGAACGGTTCCCACTCAGAGTATAAATATACTTTTTGGATCAGAAGAAGATGTTCTTGTAATAAGAATTCTCATTCTGGGTTCAAAGCTGAACAAATGTTCTGTCGATCAAAGGAGGCTCAATGGAGACATGGCTCTGAATACGGCCGCCTGTTTGAAAAGTACAGGAAAACCTGAACTGTAGTACTTTCAGTAAGTACCACAGTTCACACACGTTCTTTGCCTCATTCGGAAACAAAAATGCTATTGTTCAGCCAAGTGCTGAACAATAGCATTTTTGTTGCTTTTGTGTACAGTACTGTATTTGTTATCCATATATAATGTAGCTTGTTCAGTTTAATAAAACTAAATGTGGATACTTGTTACTTCTAATGTAAAATTAATAAACAGTATAATTAACTTTTTAAAATCTAACCTCAATGACTTAACACATTAAATTCTAGTTCTTTGCTTAGAAAAGTACATATAAATACATTACTTTCGTGAATGCTAACCAGCCTGTTAATGCTAACCAGCTTGGAACAATGGTTCTGAATGCTAACCAGCCTGTTAATGCTAACTACTTTCTAACTACTTCTCTTTGGATTCTTTTACTACAGCCACATATAACAAGCCATTTTGAATAAAAAGTTAAGTGACTAACTACTTTCTAACTACTTCTCTTTGAATTATTTTACCACAGCCACATATAAGAAGCCATTTTGAATAAAACGTTAAGGTAAATGTTATTTATATTGAGTATTGATGATTTGTTTGTTCAGTTGACTGTCTGCTGCTAGCTCTACCCTGAAACTATGGAGAGCATGGCTGTTTCTCTGAAATAGTTCTAGTTCTATAACTTTCCAGGAGGAACACACATACTGTAGCTCTTTGTAATCCATTTAGCTACAGTAAAAGTTCCTTCAGTGAATTCTGCCTAAATTCACACCCAGAAAATAACAACACTTCATTGTTTTTATCCCGTTGTCACTTCTAGCGCACAAAATCTTTGTTTGGGGGGAAAAGAACAAACTGTACCGTTTCAGAAAAATGGTTGTGGAGGACAGGGCCAGAGAGTATCCTGTCAGACTGAGGCTTCCTCTTCATTGTGTATTCTCATTGGGTGACCTGCAGTCATCATCGGAATTTACTGTGACCTGACAAGACTCGGTGGCTCTCCAGATAAGGGCACGCCAGCCACACTGGAGATGTATGAACATGAGGCCAGAAAAATATATATCTTTCCATTTTAAACTCCCATCATGCTCTCCTTCTTCCTCCCTGCTCCGTGGAAAAGTAATTAATCTGCAACAGAAACGCACAGTGACAGCTTTGCTTCGTGGACGGCAGAGCAGGCCCTGGTTTTAATAAACCAAGGAGTTAATAAGGAGCAGGCCATTTAAAATTCCATTATCAGTCAGAAGTGTGGGTGTGTTTTGGTGGGGAGCACAGGCATCACCTCTGCTCCGGTCTCTCAGAGGCAAATTGGCCAAAAATGCTGAGGGGCTTAAGTTTAGAAATGAAAGTCAAAGTTAGAAAACAGAGAGCAAGTCACTCAGTGAGTTTGATCTAGTTCTGAGTAAAGAAGCTGCACTCCATGAGGGAGACACCCAGATTAGCCCAGTGCTAACATTCAAGCTCCTGAATCTGGAGTTCAGTAGCATCTGTAGCAGCATTCTTTTAAACATTCAAGCTCCTGAATCTGGAGTTCAGGAGCATCTGTAGCAGAATTTTTTTTTTTTTAAATGTCCAATTTGCATATAAATTAATTCCTCCTTCATTTTTCTTCTCTTTGCACCGGATTTAGGCAAATATATGGCTGCCAAATATATGGCTGCCTTCAGATTAGAAAAAACTTTAAAGAGTCTTTTTTCTCCTCGGTTGTTCTGGAATTACCATGTGGATTTAAGCTTTTGTGACCTTGAAAAAAAAACTAATATTAAACGTGATTTTAAAAAAAACAAATATTTACCAACAGTTTTATGGGGTTGGCATTAGGGATGTCTGATAATATCGTCCAACTGATATCATCGGTCGATATTAGCATAATTATGCAATATCGGTGAGAATCTGTATCATTTTTTTTCTCTGATAATGAAAACCTGATGTTTCACCCAGATGATGGACTTGAAAATAGTTTTGAAGTGAAAGTGAATTATTGTCATTGTGACGCAGCACATCAGCAATCAGTAGCGGTTGATATCGGAATCAGAAAGTTTGTGTTTGGAAAATATCAACATATCGGATTTCAGCAAAATGTCTGACCCTAGTTGTCATTCAGATTCACAGCTAAGCCATGTTTTTTTTTACCCCTTTAAACACTGAGTATTCTAGAATGTCTGTCGTTGTGAAACGTGGTATGACATCCTTATTAGCACGACATCAAAGACTTTGATGCAGTTGTCTCCGAGTGTTGGTCAAGGCCTTTCTCTGCTCCCTTAAAAAAAGTTAATTTTCGAGTGTCAAAAAGACTCTTTGTTAGCGTCATGTGAATACGTTTTAGACAATTTAACGCAGTTGTGGAGGAAGTTCATTTGTTACAGTGGTTAAAGCAGTGGTTGGAGTTAGAGTGACCTCAATGTCACTGCTGTACGGGCTGTTGTCAGGGTCAAACTGTCTCTGTGTCTCTGTGTCTCCAACAGGCCTGCAGAGTGTTGGCTGTCACACACTCTGCCTCTTCAGTCATCTAACACACACACACACACACACACACACACACCAGCCAACTGTCCATGACTCCAACACTATCTCAGGCTCACTGGGCGCCACTCACGGGTTCCCACTTTGAACCTGACACTTGACTTGGCCGCGGCGCCAAACACAAGACAAGAGTGTGTGTGTGCCTGTGTGTGTGTGTGTGTCTTGAAATTTCCTTACAAAACCCACAACTCTTCTGCACCTCACTCCTGATCGTGACTCAGAAACTAAAAACCGTCCTGTCCACACGTTTGTTGTCTATTTTTGAAGTCACTCCACTTCACCGTGTGTCATGACCTTTCTGTCCGCCTTCACCGGCCAACTTGAGCGTGGCTGCGTGCGTGTGTGCGTGGGTCGTGGAAAGGTAAGGAGGTACAAGTCAATGACACGGTTAAATGTAGCTCGTGGCGACGTTCCTGGCACATTATCAGGCGTGCTTTTAGAGCCGACTTCTTCCGGAAAATGTAGCGGCAAGGACGCATTCGCCGTGAGGGTTAATGTAATAATAGGAACAGTACGAGTGTGAAACCAAATTTGGACTTGTCACAGGACGGACCGGTCATACCGCAATGTCGGCATCTGGTGCTGTTCCAGTGTGGGAGACAGGCGACTCTACCGCCGTCACAGAGCGTGTGTGTGTGACATCATCATTGACTTTTATATCACTATCCAGGTCAGGTACTGCAAATACTTTGTGTACTAGGTTTTGATAAGTAAGATTGTGTGGGAATAAAGGGAGGGAAAAATCAAAGATGGAGGATGAAAACCATTGGTCATTGTGTGTGTGACAGCTTGGTTGTTACACTTTAACTGGACAATCTACCTGCCAATCAAACATGAAGGTCTGGTCCAATCGTCCCTTCCACATATATTTTGTCATTTTTCGGTCACCATGTGACTGAAACTACAAACAAACATCAGATCCTACAAAATAAAACTTGGATCTGGAGATTAAAACCAATGAAGAACTTTGAAAATATTTACTGATATATAAATTAAAGGCATTTTTTATGTAGATTTTGGTAAGTTACATATTAACATATTTTTGGTGAACTTCCGGTATAATGTAACCACAGAAAGTAAGAACATGTCCTATTTTTTCTTCCATTTTATCATATTTTCATCCAACTTTAAAAGCTTGGTGTCTAATAAAATATAATAGTAATAAATAAGTAATGTATAATAAAAATAAAGTATTTTTATTACATCTTAATTCCCTATAATTACCCAGAACAAATGTGTAATGAAGTCACTTCATGCTGTGTGTTCCTGTGTGGCATCTGGAGCATCTGATTTATTTAGCTCAGCAGCTAGTTTACAATCAGCAACAACTACCACTTCCCTCTGGTGTTGGTTTTGTCAGTGAGCAGAAGTGAAACTGTAACGTTGTTCACATAAATGGTTAATAAGTCATAAACACATGCAGAGGAATATTCATCAAAGCTGTGATTGAACTGACTGCTTTGGTGTCAGTCACTCAACATAGCAGGATTCACTGCTATCGCATTTGCAAAATTAATTACACTCAATTAAACACTGCGGCCATTTTGGAATTACTATAAAAATAAAATGTTGCTGTATCTGGAGAGATGACGTCTTGGACTCACTCTTGATGGGGATGATGAGTTGTGGAATGACAGGCTGGATCTTGGGGCCTCCGTGCTCCAGCATGTCATGGATCCCCTGCCGGGCGAAGAACTCGTATGGATGGACGGTCTCACACAAGCCATCAAAGAACAGAGGTAAGTAGTGGTGATAGTCCAGCTTCTCAATCTCTACCTGAAAAATGAGATTGAGAATAAATGTGGGATTTTTTTATTTATTTATTTTTTAAATTCTAAGTAGGATTATTTTCTTTGCCGATTACATACACTTTTATTTGCCCCAATCAGGAAGACTTAAAATAGAAAACATTTCTTCAGATGTTAGTGACCCTTTACAATCACTTCAACTACATTTCACTGGCAGAATTTTCGTAAATTTCCCAAGAGATACTTTTCTCGTACACAAGTATGCACTTAAAAAAAAAAAAAAAAAAAAATCAATGTTCCTCCTCCCTCACACTGGTTTTCAATTGGGTTTAGGGAATTTTTATTTCCTGTGTCTATTTCATGAAAAAAAAACCCCAGCATGAATCCAACATCCACCTGTATGCTGATGAAACGCAGCTTTATACACACGAACCCAAACAGCTTCCACTAACAGAGTAAATACAGGTGAAACCCAGCATTACGTTTTAGTTGTTTTTTAACTACATTTCAATTTATTTGTTCTATTTTTTTTTACCAGCTTAGAAGCTCGACAAAAACGTCGGTCGACACATATTTAAATTATTAATTTTCCGGCACTTGGGTAACCACAACATGATAGTGACCTTTTAAAATTTACCATCTCTGAAACTGATCCAAAATGTGACCAAAAATACAACCAATACAATTAGCTACAGACAGAATCCTACAGACCAACTGGAGTCTGTACTCATTATTATCTACAGCCCAAACAAATTCTGATCCATTTGTCTTTGTTCGACCTTGGCGTCACTGAATCCAGGACCGAAGCTTCTCATGCAATTAATTACATGCATTACAGTGGAAAGAAGACTCGCAAACACAAACACACACACACGCACACACACACACAAAGGCAGGGAGACAGCTGTTCAGGAGATCATGACACAGCGGCATGTGGCATCTTGTGGACTAACATGTTAACACCTGTTTACAGCATTTACAGGGCAGTCAGAGACACACACACACACACACACACACACACACAGAGACTGGCTTTAATGTTGTTGGACTCAGCGCTCGGATCGTGTGACACATTAAAGCAC